ACTTGAGGGTCTATTCGGGATAGCTTTTTGTTTGTGTTGTGTTTCAAACTGACATCACAGCTCTATTTAGTGAACTATTTTCTTGCTGTTTTCTAGAATTTTTTGTTATGAAAAACTATTTTTTGTAAAAATTTTTTTAATAGTGTGATGGTTATTTGTTGTCTGACTTTAAAAAAAAAAAATATTTATAATTTTCATCGTAGCTTTTTGAAAAGTTGTTTTACCCACAACTACTTTATAACCATCTTTACAAGAAGTTGTAGTTGCCCCTAACGGATCCTGAATCTCCTCTAAAAGTGAAGGCATAGGTACTAAAGTACTTAGTTTCTTTTAAATCGTAGATACAATTAAATATTTAAGTTGTCTTCTTAAAATAAACCAATGAACCTATTCTAAGAGACTAAAATTTTGTTATTTTTTTCTTAGAATTTTTGTAGAACAATTTGTATCATTCTAAAAGCTTCTAGAAGGCCCAAAATATTTTTTCAAAAAGAGTTGGAGAATATGTCAAAGCATGAACACAATATTCAACATCAAATCTCACTTAAGGAGGTGTCAACCACTTTATTATCTTTCCAAAATTAAAATTCCGTTGATTGGAATTGAGATAAAGTTGTTATCATGATTGCAAACAAATTATCTTTTTTTCACATTCTTTAGCTTTTATGTACGGATGTTTGGTTAGGATTTATTATCTTTTATCCTAGCTTCTAGATTTGTTTCCTTAAATCTTAGTTTGTTAATTTGTTAATTTTTGAATTATATTGTATAGTGCTCATTTTATTCTATATTTATGCATCCAAACTGATGAGATTGTTTCTATTCTCTTAGTTGGTTGACCAGTCTTCCTCTCTTTGCAAACTTAAGTTTTCTGTTTCTAGTTTGTCTCTCTACCTCAGTGGTGTAAGGAGGCTCTTGAAAGCTACTTAGAACTTGTGGATCAAATTAACCCAAGAGATGGCAATTGCGAGAGGAAAGTCATTGAGGATCTCCTAGATTAGTGCAATCTAAACCTATCTTAACTATATAATTAATGCTTGTGTTGACTAGGTTATAATTCTACTCTCTTTTTTGCATTGGTTTGGAGTATAACTTTCTATTTAGGATTTATTTTGGCCTATTAACTTGGTAATCTTGTGTTATTTACCATTTGCTAGAGGAAATTTGTCATGGTTCTCCATGATCAATACACTGTAAATCCATCTTTAGTTTTTAATTAATCTTTATATCAGTTAGGTTCTATGTCTACTATCTTTTTCTGTATCATTGGATTCGTTTATAAGTTCCTATTAAGGATTGATTGAGACCATAGTTGTGAGTATGCAGGTAATCTTCTCTAAATTATAATCTTGTAGACTACATTTAGTTGTGTGTGTCTATTATTTGGATAAAACTAAAAATTTTAACTAGAAAGAGTTTTTTTAACCTTTAGTTTAGGGGCCATAACTTAGTGAACGTAAGAAGAAAAAAAAGGAGGACCAAAGAATAATTATAGGCCTTATTTTACAAAATGTTGATTTAGGGGCCATAACACTCAAATTTGTATGAAAAGTCAATCTGAATATTGCAAAACATGGTGCAGGAAAGAAATAAGCTATGACCATCACTACTAATGAGGCCATGCAGATTGATGGAGTTTATCAAGTGGGCCCCAAGATCATACTTATGATGCAAATACCTAAGGATGAACAAGCTAAGGAGGAGTCATTTAGACTTATCATACTAGTGTAGATGATTATTACTTCCATTATCTTTAACTCTAAGAACTAGAAGGGTTTGATTGTTGGGGCGTTGGTATAGAAGTGTGGATTGAAAAAATGTATAGCACATCCATGCTTGTTGGGATGGATTAAAAAAAGGAGTAATTTAGATTATATGATTGTGTACTTTAAGATGAGTATTATCTACCATTTTACTAATTAGATAATTGGTGAGGGTGTTTCCTTAGATATGAATCAGATTATTCTAATGAATTTATCCTTGTGGAAAAGAGATGTTATTTATCTTAAGAGACCTCAAAGTTGTCATGTAACAAAATGGCATTGTATTAAAATGAGCTTCTTCTCTTCTTTTTCTATGTTATTCTATATTTTGCTTATTGGGAAGGCAAGGGGATGCTGCATACTTGCAAAGATTTGTAGTACTTCTATAAGCAGAAATAGTCGAGCTATCAAGTACTTCACATATTTCTAGCATGGTGAAAGTTTAAACCAAAACTTTTCAAAGAGTAAAGAGATTAAAAGGTTTTTCTAGAGATTCCTAGGACTATTCAAGGAGGTGAAATGTCCCGTTGGAGCGAAGTTATTACTAGTAGAAGAAGCTCAAGGAAAAAGTTTGGCAATGGATTGACTAGAGAAAGGAACCACGTAGGCGAGTTCTTCGCACTATTCCTCTCCAATTATGTTGGTACCAAAGGAATATGACGATTAAAAAATATGTATTAACTGCAAAATATTGAATAAAATCATAAAAAATTTCCAGCACCCCTGATTGAGGATCTGATTGATCAATTGCAATAAAATTCTCCAAGCTAAACTTGAAGTCATCTTACCATTAATTTTGGGTGCTAGAGCAAGACACTTACAAGGCTTTTTTCTAATTCTGCTAAAGAGAGTTTGAGTGGCTTTTGGTACCTTTTGACTTTAACGCACCTACCACCTTTATGAATTTGGTGAATGAGATACCGTGACCTTAACTCTTCTTTTATTTTATATTCAGATTATGTCCTATTATAATAACTCCCAGAAAGAAAACTTACATCACTTAAAGGAAGTGAGCTTTACCCTAAAAAACACTCATCTTAGGCTAAATCTAGAAGTAGTATGAGTTTCAAAACTGTAGGCTTATTTATTCAGTGTTTGTGGTCAAATGACAGAAATGCATATTGCCACCAAGTTAAGGGCAATGTAGAAGTGACCAAGGTCAAGTACCATTTTTGAGGTAAGGATTTTTAGAAATTCATCCGCCGCTCTTTTTAGTTTTCATTGTTTTTTACATGGGTTAGAAGGAAATTCCTTTGGTACGGCGTGGAGGAGCGTGAGGGGATACTTTTTGATACTTGAAAAGGAATATCATTAATGTTGTGAAGACTGATCTGTCAAGTAATGCTATTGTAGTTTTATGGTGTTACTGGTACGCACCTTTGGAGTCAAGCTTTGTATTAAATTGATAGGGGAAATAGTTGATGGTGAAAAAAATCTATACTTGTGAAAGACACTGCTGTTATGGAGGTGTACGGTGTTAAGGATGGAAGCTTTTGAAGTATGCTGATGGAAACTATGGATAGTTTTGTGATGGATTTAAGTGATGGCTGAGTGTTGCCTTATAAGGGGGATTATTTGCTTGGAGTTATGGTGAGATGAGAAATAGGGTTTTATGGACATGGCCATGATGAGATGGTTGTGTTTTAGGACTTAAAGTTTTGAGGAAGGAGGGGTAAGGCATGTGGAAGGATTGGAATTAGGTTTGGGTTTGTAAAAGGTAAGTAGCTCTTAAGAGCTAATAAATTTTGGGTTCTAAGTTGTGTGGGAGGATGTTGAGTTTGGAGGTCCTAAAGGCTGTGGAGACGATAAGGAGTAGAAAACACAATAATTAAAATCTACTCTACCACACCTTTAAGATAGTTCTGCCCTTCATCTTCTTCCCTTATTAATAATCTTATAGGAGGTGCACTATGTTAATTTAAGGGTTATAACACATTATTTTACGCTATTGACATACATGGGGCACAAATTCCAAGTCGAGCTCGAGTTAGCCCCATCCGTGTTCTTTAGGTTGAGCTTGAGTTTAATATGTTGCTTTGCTATATATCTAACGCTTAGGGAAATAGAGGCCATAGAAAGATGGAGTAGAAGATTTCGGAGTAGGAGTAAGATGACAATTTGACAATGTGAAAGTGGCGGAGTGGGTGGGTATAATATTCACATTTAGCTGTTTTGGAGTAACCATGATAGAGAATCAGGAGGAAAATGATGAAGAAGACACTTGTGGTGGTAGAGGGACTGACAAATGGCATTGTTAACAAAAGAAAAGGGGGTGGAAAAGGATAAATGGGAGAGAGTGCTTAATAACATAATTTACTCCTTAGGCATAAAGTGTGCAAATATTTTGAAACTTTAGGTATTGGATTTACTTTCTATTTAAAAATAAATAAATTATATTTTTAATCTCATAATATATGCACTCAAAAAATATACTCCTACCCTGAGTTTGAACTTGGCAAGGCAGCCAGCCAAGTCATGCTCAGCTTGAACTCAACTTGTTTTTGGTTTGATCCTGACTCGTTTGATATGCTCAACTTGTGAGTCCATCAATGAACTGATCTTTGAGCTTGTGTTAGATCATCTCATTTATACTCTTAATGTGTAGGCCCCTCAAATAAAGGATGGATTATTGAGGTGCACCTGAGATTATTTAGCCTAATATTTTGGGTTGATGGGCATTCATTTATTAGTATATTGGGCATAATTTAGGCTTCTATTATAGCACTCTCCTAACAATATTTATCTGCTCTCTCTTTCTTTAATGAGAAGAAATTTGCAGATAGGTCCACCGAAGTCTTACTACCTTTTAGATGATATTTTTTGTCCAATAATTGGCAACCATGGGTACTGAATGGATGGTAATGATTGTAAATGTTTTTCTGGTAATGATTTTTACAAAAATTGACTCTCTAGGACCATACTAATCAACCACTTGGTAGCTGGGACACTCTGAACTTTGCTTTTGGTAATTTGTTTGTATTTTATTTTTTTTGAATGTGTTTCTTTCAGATTTACCATGATCTAATCATTGGTTATTTGAATGATGGATTGATAAGGTTTTTCCATGTTCAAGTTTCAAAGATTTTTGCTCGTTCTTATATTAATTTCGTGGTTGAATGATTAACAGACTTTTTATATTTTTTAAATTCCAAATGCTTCTTATTTTGTTTCATGTCTATCTTTATAAAGCTTTTCAATCGTAATTCAACTTATGATAATTTGATGCTACATATGCAGGTTGTTGTACTACTTGTGCTGTTAGAGTGAAATCAGGAACAATTAGACAACCAGAGGCACTGGGGATTTCTGCGGAACTGAAATCTAAGGTTCACATAGTCTATCTTTCCAAAGAAGCTTCTAATGGTCTGTGTGTTTGATAGGATACCTATTATGATGATCTCCATGCCTGAGGCTATCAAATTATATTATTTTAACCCAATTTTTTAAGTTTAGTAAGGGTATTTGGTTGTTTAAAATTAGAACACTTGTTTTGAAAATCCATCATTTGGTTTGATGCAAATAAAAACCAATAATGATTTTAATCTCGAGTCAACTAGTTTTATTAATTGAAGTACATTTATAGTACAGTGACAAAAATGAAAATTTACTATTGCATTATACACTTCAAAAAAAGAGCCTGGATGCAACGGTCAAATATGCTTCTTTTCTCGATGATTATTTTTCTAAATACTTATGTTGTACCTTAATACATTTTTAAGTTTTGATCAGATCATGAATTTTCAAAAGTGTGAAAGTGCTGGTACTTTGGCGCTTGGGTTTAGTATCAAATATGCAAGGGTTCCCACATTATTCACGGATGCGGGCAAAAGAAGTTAGTCCATGATACTAATATTATGATAATCTTGAAATATATGTAGTACTCTCACAGGTAAACTAATGGAATTAGTAGATATTATGGTTTATAGGAGTCATATTAGACTTGTGTATGTGTAATTATAGTAAGAGTTTGAAAGGTAATGTTATAAAATTTGATAGAATTGAAATAAAAATATAGCCTTAAAGAATGATATTGACACTCAAATTTTTAATGTTATAAGTGGTTATGCTCTTCAAGAAAGTTTAGACATAAACTCAAACGAAAAATTTGGAATGATCTAGAAGAAGAGTATAAATGATATTTTTTGAAAAAATATTTTTTATTGGAGGAGATTTAAATGGACATATTAGTAGAGTGGTAGAAGATTTTAAAAATATTCATTAAAAATATTCATAAATATTCATGGCAGTCACAGTTTTAGAGTGATTAATGAAGAAAGTAAACCATATTAGATTTTGTTTTAGTTTATGATTTTATTTCTGTCAATACTTTATCTAAGAAACTAGATGAACATATTATTACTTATATGAATAAATCTAATAAAATATAAAGATTGCAAGGTCATTCTTAGTGAAAATTTAAATAATCAACTTCAATTATTAGTTCTAGATTTTAAACGGAGGAGTTGTAAGATAAATAAAACAATGAAACATTGTCATAGAATTATATGAGGAGCATACTAATAAAATTATTTTATGAGTAAATTTCAAGATTTTAAGATTTAAGTTTTTCATGAAGAAGCTAATTCTATATGAGATAAAGTAACTGACACTATTAAAGAAGTGACAAATGATGTAGTTTTATGAATAAAAATAGTTGGTGGTAGAATAATAATATGCAAGAAAAGATAAAAAATAAGAAGCTTTGTTATAAAAATTAGTTTAAATGTAAAAAAGTTTAAATGTAAAATTAGTTTAAATGTAAAAACTTGGAGAACTAGAAAAATATAAGGTGGCTCGTAGGGAGTCTAAGAGAATAATTTGTAACACTAATAATTTTATTTTAGTAATCTTTATAATAAATTATATACTAACTAACGAGGATGAAAAATATATGCATAAACTAGTCAAATAAAGAAAACAGAAAAGTAAAGATTTAATTTAGGTAAAATGAATTAAAGATGAAAATTGAAAATTACTTTTTTAGAGAAAGATATTCAAAATAGGCAGGTGAGCTATTTTGATAAATTTTTCAATGATGTTGTCGGCACTATTTTTGGTGTGGGGTTTGTCCGTAAGAAGCTGTCGGTCATCGGAATTGAAATCCCGTTGCCCGCTTCGGAAGGATGTTTTAAAAATTTTTATTTTAGAAAAAGATGAAGTCAAACTGACCCCATAATTT